TGGACATTGCTTCAGTATGCTTGAGAAGAGTACATAACTGTTCCTGTTGGGTTGTGATTTCCTTTGTTTTCCTGACCTTTCCAGTGAGTGCTTTATGAATCGGAGCTTTCACAGAGTTTTCTGTAGCTATGCCCATCCCTTCGGTAATGCTATTTGTTCTCATTTCTAAAATGTTTTGTTCATAATTTTAATATACTATCCATTTATTGATAGTCTTTATAGTTTTATACATGAATAGTTTATTGGCTTTGTTTCACTTTGTTGTATTCATGGTAATTGTTGATGCTTAGTGTTGAACGTATTCTTATTCTAACTTCATTTCTGAAATGAAGTTAATATTGAGGAATTTTCCATTGCTTTGGATCATGTAACTATCCCACTAATCATTTATTTCTTTTACCTTCATCATATATCTGTTGCACTTAAAATATTCCAATTTCTATGTCAATAACTGTATATTAGACCTCCAGATGATGAGAGATATGTCCAAGCCAACTAACTGTAATGATATCTGATTAGTGTCATTTACTAAACATTTATGAGGTATCTGAAGAGAAAGTTGGAAGTAAAATGTTTTTGAACCCTTTATTGCATAATGAGTGAAAATATCAAATAATTACTAGATCGTATTTACTCTAATTTTTTATGCACTAAGCACAAAATATTGAACAAGAAGATATGTATTTGGAAAATAACCAGCTTATATAGCACCATGCAAACTATTTCAATGGTTCTATAAGGAAATAAATGAATTAATCATACCACTGAATGTTAATACAAGGAAAACATGGTTGAAATTATAATAATACCAAATACTAGCCATTTCAGGTTTGATTTTTTAGACAAATTCTGATTTAAATTTCTTCTTCAACATATTATACTTTAAAAATGTTTTTATTATTTTTATTTTATTTTATGGGTCTGTGCGTATTGCCTGCTTGTAGGTAAGTATACCCATGTCATGCAAACATATTATATTTTTATACATAGGTTTATGCCCAATAACTTCTCAGCCTACTCCTCTCATCACTATCTTTTCATAATGTATGTTGTGTTTATTTCTGTCTATAACTCTCCCATAAAATCTGAAAAATGGTCCACTGTTCTGGCTGAGTCTGTAGCTCAGTGGATGAGTACACGATTAGCTCTCAGCCTATACACATTTATGTCATATTGAAATTTACTTCTTAATTTTCTGATCATTCCAACTTTTTTTTTGAAAATCTTCTAAATCCTACCATTGTAAAATTTTAAGGATTCTGTTCTCTGAACCCACATTCACCATTCTAATTTATCTAGGATATAAATTCTAGATCCATAAGCTCTGCTACTTGGTAGCTAGTTATTCACATGTTATCAATGGACCTTTTAATTCATATATGTTAAAGATATTTATCATCAAGGGAGAAATGGGGAAAATGTGGACACTTTAAATGGGGAAACCATGGCAGAAGGGCTAGGCAGTGAGAGAAAGGAGAGACATACATAATGTCTAGCTGGTTTAAAAAAAAAAAAACAGAGGGAATCCTATTAGTCCAACAACCTAATGACAAATTACACATACATTACCTTTACATGAGTCCATATGTATATCTAAAGGCTACATAATAAGAAACAGTGCCAGACAGGAGAAACCTTCCATTGAGTTGTTAACCAAGGAGGTCCAAGAGATTCCCAAAATTATTCAGGCTTTTGCCATAGCCCTTGATGGCCTCCCAGATCTTTAAGGTAAGACCCTACTGCTGAAGACAGAACATACTTCAGACACAGGATTTGGAGTAATAGCGTTGTAATTGATGTGCAACCACATCCCCTGAAGACTAGCTCTTATAGCTTTGGAGAGCGCTGTGAAGTTGCCAAGGAAAAACACCAATCGATGGTCCAACACCAGCTTCAACAAAAAATAACCACATCAATGGTCAGCACGACATAGGACACTGGCGCAGTAGTGGCGCTTTTATCTTGGGGGCAATCAACAGCTCCCTAATTCGACTAAAAGCCCACTCAGTGGAAGGAAACTCAAGTGTGGTAGTGTTAACATAACCAAATACGTATGGTTGGAATGATCATAGATCTCAGTTTTCTCTAATTATAATTTTCTCTCCAAGATCATCACATCCCTAGACTAATGTGATTTCTTACTAAGTGCAAAATATGCATCCTTGTATTTTCAGACTAATATCCCAGTCACCACTCATCAAAGAAGCTCATTTTGCACCAGTCGGAGACTATTACCAAGTACCACAACTGGTCACAATGAACATTGTCTATGAAGTGCCCATGCCTATGTGACATATCTACAATGAACCTCTATACCTAAGGCTCATGGAGCATAGCACAGGGGTACAAAGGAGGAGACTAATGAATCTCTCAGTTCTCATTAATGAAGCCTCCTCATGCAGTGGAAGGCCAGGAACATAAAATGTCAGAGATAGCCAAAGTTTAGAGGTAGAGTCTGCTGAATCCTGGTCCTTGGACAGGACCCCTTTATTAAACTTCCCCCAGCTAAGGCTCAGGGACCATCACAGAAAAGGGGCTAGAAAGTGTGTAACAGCCAGGGAGGAAGTGCAGGACCATATGGAAACCAAGTCCTACAAGTGCCTGGGAACCTGTCCATATGATTCTATGGCAATGGTATCAGCATACACAAGTCCCGTGCAAACTCAGGCAGACAAAATCCCAGCATGGAACTGGAAAAATGAACAGCACACCCCAATATTGTCTGAAGAAATATTGGCAACTGATTGCTGCTAGGTGAAGAAGAGCTGATCTTCCTAAAACAAGGGACTCTATATAGGCTGATTAGACGTCAGTGGATAGACTTGGACTGGGGAACATCTGGGGACACTGAATTGACACAGTGGGCCTTATCAGGGACAACAGACTATATAGGCTCCAGTGGGAGGGGCTCTGGGAGGGTGTTGGTGGGGACGGGGGTATGAAGAGGATTAAGATTGATTGAGATTTTCTGTATGAAATACAGAAAAATTCAATAAAAGCAAACTTAAAAGAGATATTTATTTCTCTTGCTCTGCTGGACTACAAACTGATATTCAAAATCTAGGACCATATAACCCAAACTACATTCACTTTCTAGCTTACATTCACTTTCTAGCTTTTCTATTCTGTTCCCTTTGATTTTGCTACTGGCAACATTATTTACTTTAAGGGGTTGACAAAACATTAACACAAACATTACTCTAAAATGCTTTTTCTATATTTTCTCTGGATGTTCACTTCACCCAACCTCTGACTCCGCTCTCCCAAACACCCTTTCAAGCTTTTCCTTGTTGCCTAACTCTTGTTTAGGAACAACATAATTTTATCTCATTGGACGATTTCAATAGGTTCCTGACTTTGTACAATGATCCCGGTTATTTCTTATATTTCACCTTCTATAGAAGGTGCCAGATATTTCTAGAGTACAAAGAGAATCATATTAATCATGAGAAAAATAACTTACATCAGGAAGATGAATAAGTTTTGGAAATCAATTACAGAGCATAATGCATATAGCCAATAATAATATTTCATGTCATTCTTAAAATTTTCCAGGGGAGTAGAAGTTATGTTAATTCTTCCCCCACACAGACACTAATAATGAGAAAGCAAATGAGAGGAAACTGGAAGGTGATGAACAATTCTATGGCCTTAACAGTCACGACAGTTTCATAAGTATATGCTTACTGCTGTATTCATTGTGTTGTACATCTTAACTATGTATACATTTATATGTCGCAATAGTACTCAATAAAGTAATTAAAATAAAAAAAGTACATAGCATTTATTAAATAACAGGCATTGTTCTGAGAATTTGACACATAGTATGGATCACTATACTATACTGGTCTCTTTGTGCTATCAAGGTGCATTCTATTAAAATGAAGTACAAGTTATCTTCATCAAGACCTTGAACTCTATCTCTGTATCTCCATTGTCATGGAAACAATTATTACAGAACACATCATGTTCTTTTACTCCTTAGCATCACTGGCTTTTGCCTAACCCATCTGTTTGGAACACTACTACTAAATTTTTAAGACATAGCTCAGATATGAAGTCAGCATCTTGTTCCTTTGGTTCTCCTTAAGGGAATAACTTGGCTGTTTTCTATACCGACATGCACAGGCCTCTTCTACCATGGCTTTATCTCACATTGCCATTATCCTTTCGGCTACACTACTCTGCTTCTATCAGCTGTACTAGCCACAGCCACCAAAAGACTGTCTCATGTGTGCTTGCCTCTCTAATTCCTGCTGTGATAATGCAAATTCTTCACAACACTTTCTTAAATGAGAGAACTGCACACAAAGGTGAACTACTTTGTTATAGAATATGCTCAGCTTATCATATGCTTAAATATGTCACCAAATTCTTCAGCAGTGTTATAATCAAGAACATGAATTCTAAGTGGGCACAGTGGTGAATTCCTGTAATTTCGGCACTAGAGCCACTAAGGCAGGAAGACCATGAATTTGAGGCTAGCCTATAGTGAAAATATGTGATATCATGATAGCAAGTAACTAATGAAGTAAATGACTTTTAAGATACAAATATTTTATTTCTTAATTTCCAAACAAACCCAGAGTAAAAGTAGAAAGCCTAGAAATCTGTTATTCCAGACTTTAATTTTGAAAACACCCCTGCATGGTGTTTTGTTTGTTTTTTTGTTTTGTTTTGTTTTGTTTTCTTGTTGTTGTTGTTTGTTTGTTTTGAGATTGGGTGACCCTTAGCCCCAGCTGACCTGGAACTCACTAAGTAGACCAGGTTGGCCTCAATCGCACAAAAACCTGCCTGCCTCTGCCTCCATGGTACTGGGACCAAGGGAGCGTGCCACCACACTCAGATACCCTGTTTCACTGCCTCACTTTACCCATCTATAAAGCAGAATCAACACTGCCTGTGCCACATATCACAAAGCACTGATGTGGCAAGAGGAAGAAAAACTCTGGAAAGCACACTTGGAAACACGATGTGTTCTACTGCCAGGGTTCACTCACCAAACACAGTTCTTGCAGGCACAGATTCTCTGTTGAGCCAGAATGACACTTGGGAGAGAATGACAGTCATGATGCAAGGCAGATAGGTCTGAATCACAAAATACCCAATTTTCCTTTTCAAGTGGAAATGAGCTGTCATTACAGTATATTCACCTGGAAGAAACATTTAAGAAGCTTAAGGAACTGTACTCATCCAGAGGCGGAACCTTTTGGAAATGGAAGGGATTAGGAAAAGAATCTTCCCTGATATATTAAAAAAAATAAAAAAAGATGATCACACGCATTACATGAGAACTATTGGGAGTAGAAATGCCCCATTAGATCTGAAGAGTACTTAAAAGAGAATGTCTACAGTATTAGCAACCTTGCACTGCCACATCCTGTGATATGGTGTTCACTTTTCTCGTCAGGTCATGCCCACTCCCCAGCAGGATTCTAAAGGCTGCCAGTGGTTTATTCTATTTGCTTAGGTCCCTCATGTCCACTGGTACTACCTTCACAGTGCTAGAGTGATTGATCTAGCTCCGTCCTTGCTGCCTCTGCAAAGCACTGATATCTGGTCTTATCTCTAAAACTGCTCTTCTGACCCAGATCTTCCACTTTTAACCCCATCACTAATCCTGACTTTCTCTCTGTGGTGCTCCAGCTCTAATTTGCTTCAGTGAGTTCTGTCTGATCCTCGTACCTGTCTTCCTTTCTTATCCCAGGGTTTTAATTATGGCCAGATGTAAGATAGTTAGTTCACACAGCTGCCTTTTCTTCACTGAGGGCATCTCTCAGAGAGGAGCTTTCTGTGCAGACCAATAGTAATTACCCAGAATTCAAGAGCTGAATAATTATAAATTGTCCAGAACTGAAGAGAAAATGAGGGAGATGCTATCACTAGCTTAAAGACAAATGCTAAAATTGACTGATCTCAGAAGACAAACACTTTTGAATACGTAGTACATTTTAGGCCATCATCTCTGAAACATTCATGCACATATGAATCTCCTTGGAATCTTGTTATAATCCAGGCACGGATTTAGCAAGGGGGAAGTCTCAAGAACTCCCAAGCAGTCTATGCTGCTAGTATGTAGAGCTCAAAATGTTTTTATTATCTGATACGTTTTCAGTGATTTTAACCTATTAATTTTCTTCAACACTAGCTTTATTTAAAATTTTTTACTAACCTGTACTCGATTTAATTGTCTCCTTCCCAATTGACTGGCCCAGTAAATCATATTGATTTAACCGAGATCCATCAGGAGCAACCTGCACTGAATCAGATGCATTGTAAGTCCAAATATAAGTGACTTCTGAGGTGGTATATGCATCTGTCAGGAATAAGAAAACAAGTGTTTTGTCATCTGAATGAGAACAACATATAGAATGAAACAGCTAAAGTTTTGTAGTTCATAGAATCACTATTTATAGACAAATTAATATTTAAAGATCATATATTTAATTCAAAATTATGTCCTTGGAATTTACACTTTAACATATATTTTAAGCAGAAGCGAAGAGCCAATCATGAACATAAAAACATTTTCCTTTAAACCACTTTGAGAGAGGAGTAGTAAATTTATCTTCAGAGACTGTGAAAGTCACTGGTTCCTAAGATGATTATAGTATCCCTTAGACTTAAGGTAGCAGATGAAGAGATTGCAGAAACAAATAATGGATTTTAGTCACACAGTTTATTTAGAAATAGTGACTACCTATGAAATAAAATTATAATCCAAAATTATATATTGTTTTATGAACATAAATTTTATTTAGTTAAGTATGAAATGACTGGCTATCTTAGGTAAAAACATTTCGTTAGAATGAGAACTAATTGCAGACAGACAAAAGAAATCAGAATACTATATAGTACCCTAATATTACAAATGCATTTTTCTGGTCTTTTTGAGACAGGGTCTTCCTGTAGCCCCAGCTGACCTGAAACTCACTATAGAGACCAGGCTGGCCTCAAATTCACAGTGATCCACCTGCCTCTGCCTCCCAATTGCTGGGATTAAAGGCATGCGCCACCACACCTGGCTACAAATGCATTTAAAAACACATTTATATATAATTAATACACACAAATTTCATAGACTACCCACGCATAGCTTTCCAGATAAGGTAAGGATTGACAGAAAGTGAGATACAATATCAGTGTGTTTGCCCAAAGATGCAGAACTTAGTCGAAGTGAGCTGTCTCTGGAATGGACATATCTGTCATTAGTCACTCTCTGTTTTGACATTTCTTTTGTGCTTGTGTGCCCTGTTGGGGACCTGCTGACCTGTGCATACAGTGTCTCTCCACAATGGAAGATAAAGTCAGATATTTCCTGCCCCACTGCCAAACTTTCAGAGAACTTCTATGCACTTCAATTGCATGTCCGCTTAGGACTACTACTCCTGGAACAAAACTTAGCATCGTGGTCACATTCCCAATTTTAGGAAAACCGAGATGAGTTTTCTGCAGCAGTATCTTGACCTTTAGTTCTTCAGGACAGTGAAAATCTTATTTCTTTATTCTGTATAAATTTTTCACTTAATACTATTGTCCTGAGCTGGTACTGCTACTGATCTTCATCTAATCAAGTATGATCAATTCAAGTATCAGCTATGATACAGTTAATATTTATGAGTATGTTTTTCATTTGCTGGATGATCTTTTAATGGAATATTCAATGTTGTTTGGCCTTCTGAATGTTGCTATTAACATCAGTATCAGTGAAATACTCCTTATATTTATACATAGATTCAATGATGTCCCCAAGTAAAATATATTATCAATTTTTCTGAAATAGGATTCTAAAATCGTATGTAAATACACATGCATTTTATATACATTTTTGTATATATTTTCATAAATAATTTTTATATATTTTCACATGAATGAATTCTAGCTGATCTGAAGTCTAAAATACTATTGTGGACTAGAGGGATGATTTAGTGGTTAAGAGCACTGGCTGCTCTTGCAGAGAACCCAGGTTTACATTCTAACACTTACGGGCAGCTAACAACCATCCTTAACTCCAGTTCCAGAGGATTCAATGCCCTCTTCTGGCCTCCACAGGCATTGCACATGGTGTGACATCTTACATACATGCAGGGAAACACTCTCAAACATCAAATAAACAAACAAATAAATAAAAAGTAGTAATGTAGTTATGTAGTAATGATTAAAAAGTAGTAATGTAGTTTTTTAGGAACTCATTTGCAGATCATCAAGTGACTTGCTTCCCAGATCAGCAAATATCCTGGTCCTATATACAACAGCATTTCAAATGTCACACAATTCACTAGGCCAAACATACATTGCATATGTCATTTTATATCAGAATGGCTTTGTAATATTCCATAGTTTGAATAGTAACAATTTATTAACTTTTTAAAAGTAATTATAATTATATCACTTTTGAATCTTCATATTACTGTTAAGCTTAATAAGAGAAATGAGTCTATAAAAGTAATGATGTTTTTAGGGATTTACAAAATACAGATAGGTATATATGATCGATATATTTTTATAGGAAATTATCAATTTGCTCCTGTTAGATCAATAAATAAACTCACTTTTTAAATGATACTATGTTAATCTGACAAAAGCCCAAGAACACAATGTCAAAATGATGTATCCTTCATATAGCTATTAAAAATCATTTATATTTCATTAATTAATAATCTACTTTTTAACTATTAGCTTTTATTCTAAAAAGTATTTTCTTTCAGATTCTTTGGATCTACTGCCCAGAATAACACAGCACTTACATCCAGGAAATTTTAACTCAAATAAAACAATAAAAATATAAAGACATAAAGTGATATGAGGAAAACAAAAGAGTGAATTTGAAATTGCACATATACAGAAAAGTTGCCTCTTTTATTGAGGACAAAGATAGAGTTCCAGAAATTCTATTGTTCTAAGGTTTATGGGGACTTAAAAGATTGAGAAAGAATTAAGTACAAGAAAATATCATGGTTGCTCTGACCAACTTTCTGTGCCAGCATGTGAAGGGCTGTTCTGTCACCTCACACTGCTGTCCACACTGCCAACACAGATGCCTCAAGCACTTGCTGTGCACCAGGAGAAGGAAGAGAACACACAAACTGTTTTGCAATATGTCAGAATATGATAGAAAGAAAGCAAAAATATGTAAGTAATAATTACTCAAAAAGAATGTAGAACAAAAACTGTGTGATGACCACATGAATTCAGAATAGGGAAATCTATCATTTGAAGCATGCAATATTAAATTGCTGTAACAGAACTCTATGAATATTTTTATTTTGAGGTCAAATATTTCCAAATATTTCAGTTTCAGTATTGAGGCATCATGCAATTGACAACTTATGTCATAATAACAATACCTCAACCACTGAGGTTGTGTTTCCTTCCCAGATCATTACTGCATCATGGATAAATTCTTTTTGGTGCCAAAGCTTTTCAAGTTTCTTTTTAATGTCACTTATGTAATGCAAATGAGTTTCTCGCTGTATCTGCTGTGGTTTTCTCAACATCATGTTTATGTTTTATAACATGATTGACTATCTTAAATAGTGTTTGAAGAAGTTCCAGTTTTGAAGGATGATTCCCATGACAGTAAAGAAAGGCTTTGTGGTAAAGCACAGAGGAGACCCAAAGAAAATTGAGAACAGACACCTGCTGTAAGAACATACAGAGCAAACAAGCTTGACTCCCTCACTCCACAAAACTATTACCATAGAGGATTTTTTATTCATATTAGCAATTATTCTGTTTCTTTCTTCCAATTTGTAGTCTATGAGAAGCTACACCCTTCATTCATTTTCTTAAACAAGTTAAAATGTGCATTTCTATTTAATAGAGGAAAAAAATGAACTCAAAGCTACCTAGAATGGAGAAATATGATATGCCAGAAAGAACACAGTTTCAGCAAAGGTTAGACAAGAGACATGTTCACAAAGGGCAAGCTGCTTAGCTGGATTGATACATTTAATCATGAACCAGCCTGGAGTGTCCCACGAGCCTTGAAAATGGTCGGGCCTTCTCCCTTTCCATTATTCCAGAGTGTGAATGCTTCTGCTTGACAAACAAAACATAGCCCAGCTACCCAGTGAATGGCCAGGGGAACAGAGAGCATTTTGAAATGTTCTATGTGCATAGAAGATGATGGCATGTAACCATTCAATGGCTTCATCTCCTTTAGATTTGTTTTATGGAAAAAAGGCACTTCTATCAGCTCTGTGGTATGGGGATGCCTGCACAGGCTTCATTTCTCTATATGACTTTTGTAACAGTCTGATAGGAAAGAAGCAGTTGAAGTCATCTTATGTAAACCTCTCCAAGTTGACAAACTTAAAGTTTTAATGTTGGTAATAAGGAATACATGAATAAATTACAGTATTAATCCTGTAATAGCTCTTGGTTCAGTTTTATACATTATCCGGAACACTGAAATTCTTTATTAGCAGTAAGAACAAGAGAGTACCAAAGGGCATCCAATTGTTCTTTGAGACAATCATGCCTTGTACTTCTGTATACTATTGGTCAGTTATTAAGCATTCCATAATATGAGAAGAAACTACATGAACAAACAGGGCTGCTGACTGCAAGTGACATGTCCATCTTATACTTACAGCTGCCAAATTTCAGGGGGCATGAATGAGCATCCATTGGAAAATCCTCCAAATGCATTGGACATTCAGCTTGAACTGTAAGCCTAAAAGTCAAAAATTCCACTCTTGGTTAAGGTAAATTTCTAGTCAAGATAAATTATTTTCACTGTTTTCAAAAGAATTTATTAACAGGTAGGACTTTCTCAGGGATTTTATATTAGGCTTATAGAGATTTAATGCATTTCTGTTCTTTCTAGGGAGACCTTTCCAAAACACTGGCAGGAAAATGTTCTGAACATAAGAAATAATAGTTATTAAAAATAACAGCCATTTTGCACTCTGCAATTTGTTTTAAAAATAAAGAAATTTTATATGTATTTTAAAACAAATGTTTCCCCATTAGTATCACTATTAATATTTGACAAATGACAAATTTTTAAATCTATACTAGAGCTCTAACATCATTTCCCTCATCATCACATCAACAGTTACAGAGCAAGGTCAATGTAAGAGTTCAGTACAGGCTTTCTTAAAAATACCTGATTGCAAAAGAATATGTTATGTTACATATAGATAAAAATTTCTAGAAATAGATACAAACAATATTGATGCATCTCCTAAAAATAAATTATTCAACCAATTGTTGAAAAATTATGGACATAGTTCCTGAGCATCGAGTGCATTTTTCTCTATCTAAATATGATAGACATCACATATAAAATCTGTTATAAAGAAAACTTCCAGTTATTGCCATTTCACATAAAAGTAAGTGGATAAAAATAGTACTAAATAGAGCTAAAAATATCTGTTGTAATTGAGCCGAAAAAAGGTGATCATCAACCAACTTTGGCATACCTCTAAACAGTATATTTAAATAGAAGCCTCTGTAACATTTTATAAAATATGTAATCTCTGGGCCTTAATCTATAGGAATAAACTGTTAAAGCCATCAAGGTCATTACCTCGGATTCTCAGTTTCATCTGTAGCACATCACATCCAACAACATACCTCATTGTATAGAGCAGAGTCCCATCATCCTGAATGCGCAGCAACTTGTTTGGCATTGTCATATTATGAGCAACCGACTTTTTCCCATTGTGAAAAAAGGTATCTGGAGTCCAGATTTTGCTAGCCATTAAATTATTAAGTCGAAGGATATTCATAGGACCTTTAAATTTTAAACGTTCATCTTTCCATTTTTGTCGAAAGAAAACATCTATTGTATATTCCTGAAATACAGAATGGAAATACCTTTAGAAACAGTAAATGTTGTAGAAATAAGACACAATAAAATCCCAATGAGATAATATTATGACTAGTTTACAGAGAGCAGTATTGAGAGAAATAAATTTTGCATCAGAAAGGTTATTCCTTTGGGTTATCAAGAATTGTAGCTTTTTACAATGGCGCAAAGCATATTTTTTTTGTATAATTAGGCACATGTTCTCATGAAAGAAGGTAATAAATTTACTTTATCTGGCTTCTCTCAGTAGGAACAACCTCTTAGACAAAATGCTTTCCCAACTGCATCATTGCAAGATGCTCCAGAGGGCTGTGCTTGGGGCAGATCTGGATGGGGTGTTTTAGGTAGGATATTCCAAGAAAAATTAAGCTGATAGCTTTCCAATAGGAAAAATTAATAAATAACAATGAAGAGAAGCAACTTTTAAACACACTGTCGTACCTGTGGAGTCATTGCATTCTTGTTGCCAAAGAAACTGTTGAATATCATATTTTCTAATTCTTAAAAATACCTGGTGATGTATCATATGGTTAGCTGAATATTTTTAGCAAATGATGAATTCAGCAAAATTTAGTTATTAAATTAGTTGTAATGCAAGAGTTTTGACAAATTATTAGACCACATGGAGTATGAATTTTCCAAACAATCTTCATGTAAAATGTGCACATGGATTATAGATACACATGCATGCATACTGGATTGAGAGTAATTTCTCCAGTTTAATTTTGCAATTTTTTACTTTAGCTAAACCCTGTTCTTCTTCCTTTCTCTCTTTTTTCCCTTTCTCCCTATACTGTTCTCTCTTTCTCTCTCATGCAGTTTAAGTGAGATAAACAGTAGCTCACAATTGTGATTCATTCTGCTGGATACTAATTTTTTCCAATGCATACTTATGCCAACACATATAAATAATCAAAGATTCAATTACACACCTAAGCTTGGAATTTCCCAAACTTTCATATACAAAATCAAATCTTCAAGTGTTTGAAAACATGCATTGTAACAGGTAACAATTTCACAAACAGAATTCTTGATGTTTTAAAAAAGCAAATTAATATGTTCCTATTATAAAAAGATATCATTTGCACAAATCTACATCAGCTGAATATTGCCTAATGATCCATCAAAATTTGTCTGGGCAATGAGAATGACATCCACCACAGATCAAAACATAACTAAGCAATGAAGAGTAGCTCAGGGCTATACTCCTAATGTTCAGGGAACATTCTGTAGCCAATCCATGCTCACTCTGTATGGCCTCATTAATGTATTTTTAATGTAGAATTTTATCTAAACAGAACTCAAAATAGAAAACCTAGATTAAAAATAAGTATTTGAATCATGGTAAGTTTCTGTGCAAGTACTTCTTTCCAATGGTGGTCTCAAGCTCCTGAATGCATGTGACAGCCCATCCAGAGAAACTGAAGTCAATTTAAAACATTGCATCAGACTTCCAATTTCATTTTTACATTTCTGGAAAATCAAGATCGGCTTTATATGTTTTCAAAGGTATTGATATGGCAATCATATCCTGGAGACCTACCACAGAGGAGATTTAAACTTACAAGCAGGATGTTTCAGGATGAGTTAAAAATACTTTTTAAGAACATTATTGGTTTCGAGCTCTCACATTATCCTGAGTGTGCCCAACCATTCCACCCTGCATGATCTGTATCTTTGTTTCTGAAATATCATCAGCCAAACTTGTGTTAAGGTCTTTAACAATCCACACTCCCTGACATTTTCCAAACAAAGTAATCTACCTGCCTGGCTGAGTACTCCTCCATTTCTTGATTACTTGGAAAATATTCTTCTCTCTTTGCTCCTATTGAGCTTCAAAAATTTCATACATTTCCCACTCAAATCCAGAGCCCTCCCTCATCGATGACTCCTACTCTCCCCCCACAGAACTGTATGCACTCTACCATACATGCTGAGTCCTATTCATTCAGGTGTTTGTACCCAAATGTCCTTCAGTGTAAATGGGTCCCCTGGGCATGTAGTCAGCCCATCCAGTGGTTGTATGTAAGCCATACTCTTCCCTCATACAGCAGCAATCAGTCTCAAATAGTTTTCAATCTAAAGCTGAGCCCACCACCTGTTCCTTACTTCCCCTTTGGGCCCTTGTTGAATTGAGCTGACACTGGTCCCGTGCTCTATGCCACTGCAGCCACAGTCTCACATGAGCAAGCCTCGAGTGGCCTAGAAGCCTCCACCTCCCTATGTTAATGAACCAGCCCTGGCTCCTACTATTTTCCCACCTCCTCTTCCACAATGGTCCCTGAGCCATGGGTGGGAGAAGTTCCATATAGGAGTCCCATCCTCCACTCTACAGTCTCTTATCCTCCAAAACTTGGCCAGTTGTGGCCTTCTGTGTGCATTGCACTCTGATGTACATGGAAGTCTCACTGCTGACAGTTGAGGGGTGCATTAGCCCTCTCTCTACCCCTGATTCCAATATGTTTCATGAGTCTTAGTTGTAGAGATTTGGCTGTAGATGTGTCACCTAGTACTGGGCATCTCCCAGGCATACTTTCTCTGTACCTGACCAGATACACAACTTGGAAGTAGTTTCTATCTGTTATAAAAAGAATCTTCTTTGATGAGTGTTGTACAATATGCTTGACACTCTAAGGGAGGTCTCTTCTATCTGGCACTGTGTTTCCTGCCAAGCAGCTCCCAGGTGTACCTATGCATTAATGTTCAAACACTCTATGTGCATTTCTCATAGGATTTCTAGGGCATCACTTTTCCTTCTAGGTTTTCTAGCTCCCCAAGTTTCACTCATCTCCTATCTTTTTTCTCCCATCCTGCTTTCCACCTCCCTCCCTCTCTAGTCACAGTTCCCCCATTATCCCCACCCTCCCCCCAATACCTCCCAACTCCTGCCATCTTTCCTCTCTTGACTTCCTTTCCTCCCCCACACCATGGTCCCTTGCATGTCCCTCCCTCCTCTCCTCCCTGCCGATTACTCCCACTTTTTCCACCTCCCTCAAGCACATCAGGTTGTTTCTTGTCCTTTACCACCATGTTTCCTCTCCTTTTACCTGGTTTCTGGTGTTACATCAGAATCTATATACTCACATATAAGTGATTGGTGCTACAATCCACAAATGAGGAGAACATACATCGTTTGCCTTTCTGTGTTTATTGTTACTTCACTTAGTATAACACTCTCTAGCTCCAATCATTTGCCTGCTGAAATTTCATAATTCCATCTTTTCTTACTGTTGAGTAGAACTCTATTGAGTGAGTAGGCGCACCACATTGCCATTAACCATTTGTCAGTTGAGGGACAGTTAGGTTGTTACCAATTCTTAGCTATTGTGAAGGGAGCAGCAACAAACGTGGATGTACAGTATGATGAATCCTTTGGGTACATGCCAAGGAGTGGGATAACTGGAACATATGGTAGGTTCATTTTTAGTTTTTTGAGGGTTCTCCACACTGCTTTCCATGGTGGTTGCAAGAGTTTACATTCCCATCAGGAGTGAATGAGGATTCCTCTTTCTCTACATCCTCTCCAGCATTTTGAGTCTTTTGTTCTTTTGATCATTGCCCATCTGACTGGGTTAAGATAGAATCAAAAAGTGGTTTTTATTTGCATTTCTCTAATTTCTAAGGATGTTGAGCACTTTTTAAGGTACTTCTTAGTCATTTTTACTTCTTCATTTGAGAACTCTATGTTTAAGTCTATCACCCATCTTTTTATTGGGTCATTTATTTTCTTATTTCTCTTTTTTTAAAGACCTCCTATATTGGAAGATTATTTCCATCTCAATTGCTTGTTTGTTGCTTTACCTTCCAGAAAGGGATGAGGGCTTTCATATGTACTTCAGTTTGCTTCCAGATGTATAAAAGATTATAAGGTGTACTTCATAACTGATAAGATAGTTCAGTAGGCAAGCTGTCAAACCTGATGATGACCTGAATTTAATTTAATTCCTGTAACCAACACAGTAGGAGTAGAGAACCAAATCCTGTAAGCTGTCCTCTGAATTCCACACTTGCATGTACCCTACCCATATAAATATTTTTTTTTAATTAAGAATATTGTAAACACTAGGCATGGTAGTACATGCCTTTAATCCCAATACTAGGAAGGTAGAGGCAGGTGGACATTGTGAGTTTGAAACAAACCTGGTCTACACAGTGAGACTCTGTCTTAAAAATTAAAATAAAAACAAAATCACGATGAGTGTGGGAGCTCATGCTTTTAATCTCAGTGTTTGGGAGGCAGAGGCAGGTATATTTCCATGAGATCGAAGACAGCCTGGTTTACAGGTGAATTCCAGGCCACCTATGGCTACAGAGAGACCCTGTCTCAAAAAGACCAAAAATAAAAATAAATAAACAAAAAATTTTAAAAAAATTATAAACACCTTGCGATCATTACCTTGCAAATACATTATCAGAGAGACTATTCAAACATCCACCCCTGTTTAATACTCCTCAATTATATTTTCCTGGCCCTTTAAGAAAGAATTAGTTTGAATTAGGTGCTTATCAATTCCATACATAAACTTTTGTGGATGGGAGCTTACAAATATCCATCATAACTCAAGAGCCAAAAGACAAAGTTGAGGACACACAACTAAAACACAATTTTAGAAAGAAAGAAAACAAATCAAGGTCATATAATTGTACAACCATCATGCAGCAGAAATGCAAGAGAGATACAATGGGTAGCAATAAAGATCTGAAAATCCATACAGCTAGAGATTTGGAAAAAATCCTTATACCAATGCCAACTCAATCAGACAAAAACCCAGCATAGAACCAGGGAAATGGGCTACAGGCCCAACCTTAGCTGAAGAACTATTGGCAACTGATTATTGCTGGGTGAGGGAGAGTAGATCTTCTTTAAGGGAGTGATGAGCTATAGGCTGACTAGACTCCAGTAAATGAAATTGCACTGAGGAACATCTGGGTACAAAAGCTTTACTGGATGGGACTTGACATATATGACAGAATGCATGAAATACA